GGGGGCTTCCCCCTCGGGCAGCGCTGCCCCCTCGCTGCCGGCGCCCGTCCCTGCAATGGGGGCATCTCAGTGGGGCCGGGTGGGGGGAATGCTGGGCCCCAGAGTAACGTGCCCACCTGTTCCTTCCCCGTCAGGTGCAGAAGAGAAGATCCTGGCTGAGTTCCGGGACTCCTGCCCGCACTACGTGCCCCATGACCTGCACCTCCAGGCCATGGTGCGCTCGGCCGGCAAGCTGGTGCTCATTGACAAGCTGCTGCCCAAGCTCAAGGCGGGCGGCCACAAGGTGCTGATCTTCTCACAGATGGTGCGCTGCCTCGACATCCTGGAGGACTACCTCATCCAGAGGCGGTGAGGGCACCTGCTATTCTAGGGCCTGTGTGTGAACAGACGCTTCCCCCCCAGCAGGGGGTGGGATCGGGGGCGGGGGTGACCTTAGCTCTGCTGTAGGGCATACATCAACACAGGCTGTGGTAGGTTGGAAGGGGTGTCATGGGGCCAGTGGTAATGAAGCTGGGGGTGCAGCGGGGCATGGAGTTCCATCACTATGTAAACACGGTACTGGCCCCTCCCTCACAGGTACCTGTACGAGCGGATTGACGGACGGGTGCGGGGGAACCTGCGGCAGGCCGCTATCGACCGCTTCAGCAAGCCTGACTCGGACCGCTTCGTCTTCCTGCTCTGCACCCGGGCGGGCGGCCTGGGCATCAACCTCACGGCAGCCGACACCTGCATCATCTTCGACTCGGACTGGAACCCCCAGAATGACCTGCAGGTACTGGGGACCCTCCCCTGCCCCACACCCTGCCCCACTGTGTGCTGCCTCCAAGAGCTGACGAGGGGGTCATGCCCTTCTCTTCCTGTACTCCCTGCAGTGTCTTCCCCCACTCTGGGGTCCCTGAGTGTTCTCTTACCCCACAACCCTGCCCCATCCCTGAGCATCCCCTGGAGCTGTCCCACCCCCTGTGCACTTCCGGGGCCCAACAACCGCTGTCCCCTAGCTACTCCCCTTCCCTGCCCCTCAGCACGCTCTGGGTCCCGCACCCCAGACACCGGCTCCTCCCCCTGCCGAATGCACCGGGCGCCCTGATGCCCCTCTCTCCCCAGGCACAGGCGCGCTGCCACCGGATCGGGCAGAGCAAGGCAGTGAAGGTCTATCGCCTCATCACCCGCAACTCCTACGAGCGCGAGATGTTCGACAAGGCCAGCCTCAAGCTGGGGCTGGACAAGGCCGTGCTGCAGTCCATGAGCGGGCGCGAGGGCAGCATCGCCGGGGTGAGAGTGCGCGGGGAGCTGTGGCATAGCTCCAATCCGGCCCCAGGGCGAGGGACTGGTGGGCTCAGGCGGGTGGCAGGGAGGAGGTGGTGGGCTGGTGGGGGGGCTGTGACGTTGGGGGTACCCGTGGGCTGCGGTGGTGGCATGGTGGGGAGGAGGTTCCGGGAGGCTGAGGGTTGCTATGACGTTGGGGGTACCCGTGGGCTGGGGTGGTGGCATGGTGGGGAGGAGGTTCCGGGGGGCTGAGGGGGCTGTGACGTTGGGGGTACCTGTGTGAACGGTGTGTCGTCCCCCTCCCCTCCCCAGATCCAGCAGTTCTCAAAGAAGGAGATCGAGGACCTGCTGCGCAAGGGGGCCTATGCTGCCATCATGGAGGAGGACGATGAGGGCTCCAAGTTCTGTGAGGAGGATATTGACCAGATCCTGCTGCGCCGCACGACCACTATCACCATTGAGAGTGAGGGAAAGGGCTCCACCTTTGCCAAGGTACCCCCGGTTCCCCTGCGCAGATCCTTCCTGCAGATACCCCCAACACCCTGGCTACCCCCAACACCCCCCTCTGGAGAGAGTGCAGGAGCTCCCCCTTCACCATGGTCCAGCTCTACCTCCCCACTGACCTGCGGGGCATGTCTCACCTGCATCCCAGTGGGAGGGACAGACAGACACACTCAGAGGTCAGCCTGTGGGTGGGGAATGGAAGCGCGGAGGGTCACATGGGATGGCTAGACACATGGCACATTGTAGCTTGGAGATCCAGGGGCGCCACCGCCGCCTTACCCCCCCCCCCCTTCTCTCTCACACACACCACTAACCCCCTGGCTCCCTCCACCAGGCAAGCTTCGTGGCCTCGGAGAACCGCACAGATATCGCCCTGGACGACCCCAACTTCTGGCAGAAATGGGCCAAGAAAGCGGACCTGGACCTGGACCTGCTCAACAGCAAGGTTGGGGGAGAGGAGTGGGCCCGAGGGGGCATGGGACCGGGCGCTCGAGCGGGTGTTGGGGGTGGGGAACGTGCCCTCTTCAGCTGTGGGGGGAGGGGCTGGGGAGCATCGGGTGGGGGTGGGGGGTTGCTAGGGACCCCAGAGCCTCCCATCCCCACAGCAGGCTCGGCAAATAGAGAGACAGTCGCCCCAGTAATGTGGATAGGCATCGGGTCGGAGCCCTACCAGGAGGAGAGGCTGCTTCCCACTGTGCTGTGAGCCCCCACAGCTCCTTGGCTCTAGATCTCACTCCCAGGCTTCCCTGGGCCCCCCGAAATCCCCAATTTGTCCTGAAAGGGAATGTGTCCAGAGCCACCTTGGAGAGGGGGTCTGGGCAGCAGGAGGTTCTCCCAGCCAGAGGGGTGGGGGCATATCCCAGAGCTGCCCTCCTACAGCAGGAGCTGGTTCTGGGGGCTGGGCTGGCAGCTCTCCCTGTGTGCTGCCCCCCCCCCCCCTAGGTGTAACCATCCCTCCCCTCCCCAGAATAACCTGGTGATCGACACGCCGCGCGTGCGGAAGCAGACCCGGCACTTCAGCACCCTGAAGGACGACGACTTGGTGGAATTCTCGGACCTGGAGAGCGAGGATGAAGAGCGGCCACGCTCCAGGCGTCATGACCGCCACCACCCCCTGCACCACTCATACGGGCGTACGGACTGCTTCCGCGTGGAGAAGCACCTGCTGGTCTACGGGTGAGGAGGGCTTGTCTGAGGGTTCCCTGGGCCGGTGCTGACCCAGCCAGGGCTGCGGATGCTGGTAGGAGGGCTTGGTATGGTCAGGTTCCTCATGGTTGGGAACACTGGGGGGTATATTTGGGGGAGGTCTCGGGGCTGGCGCTGACCCAGCCAGTCCCCCAGGGCTGCAGATGCTGGTCTGAGGGCTTGGTATGGCCGGGTTCCTCGTGCCAGGGGACACTGGGGGGAGGGGTCTCGGGGCCAGCGCTGACCCGTGCGGCTCCCCACAGCTGGGGCCGCTGGCGAGAGATCCTGTCCCACGGGCGATTCAAGCGGCGCCTGTCGGAGCGGGACGTGGAGACGATCTGCCGCGCCATCCTGGTCTACTGCCTGCTGCACTACCGAGGCGACGAGAACATCAAGGGTTTCATCTGGGACCTGATCAGCCCGGCTGAGAACGGCAAGGCCAAGGAGCTTCAGAACCACTCAGGTGAGGGTTCCCAGCCCACCCCCCAGCTCGCTCCCTGCACGCCTGCCTGATAGAGGAGCCATGGAGCCCCTTGGGTGCGACGCCCCGCCAGCCCCCCGCCCCGGTCTGACCTCTCTGTCCATCTGTCCTCCAGGCTTGTCGATCCCCGTGCCCCGGGGGCGCAAGGGCAAGAAGGTGAAGTCCCAGAGCACGTTCGACGTTCACAAAGCCGAGTGGATCCGCAAGTACAACCCCGACACGCTCTTCCAGGACGAGAGCTACAAGAAGCACCTCAAGCACCAGTGCAACAAGTAAGGAACCCAGGCGTCCGGGCTCCCCCCAACACACACACACTCGCCACTGCTACAGGGGACCCAGGCATCCAGGCTCCCCACAACACGCGCACACACTCACCCTGGTACAGGGGATCCAGGCATCCAGGTCCCCCCCACACGCCCACCCTCACCACCACACACACACACACACGCCACTGGTACAAGGGACCCAGGCATCTGGGCTCCCCACAACACGCACACACTCATCACTAGTACAAGTAAGGGAGCCAGGCGTCCGGCTCTCTCACACACACACCCACTAGTACAGGGGACCTAGGGGTCCGGGCTGCCCTCCCCCGGCTGGGGATGGGGCCCAGGCATCTTACTCCCCAGCATGGGCTCAGTGCTCTCTCTGACCCTGTGATGTGTCTCTGTCAGGGTGCTGCTGCGAGTGCGGATGCTGTACTACCTGCGCCAGGAGGTGATTGGGGACCAGGCCAGCAAGGTGCTGGCTGGTGCTGGTGCCAGGTAATGCACCTTCTGCCCCCCCACGCTGTGCTCCACTGCCCCTCCCCCCCGCGCCCCTCATTGCTGCCCTGTCCCTGGTCCGTCCCTGTCTCTTGCCCCCTCGTCTGTCTGTCCTCCCTGCGTCTGGACCTGCGTCTCACTTGTTTCTCTGCCCCTTCTCCTCCCAGCGAGATCGACATCTGGTTCCCGCTGGTGGAGCAGCTGGAGGTGCCAACCGGCTGGTGGGACGCTGAGGCCGACAAGTCCCTGCTCATTGGGGTCTTCAAGCATGGTGCGTGTGTGGGGGTGGGTGTAGGGGACTCAACTCCCCTAGGTTGGCAGCACAGGGGGAGGGGGGTCTCACTTGCGGACGGGTAAATTGTGCATGCGGTGGGAAGGGAGTGAACAGTCCCAGAGTGGCTGGGCCAGGGAAGGCTGTTTCTGGCCCCAGTGTGTGTCTGTGTGCACAGAGAGGGCAGTGGGGTGCTGACCCCTGACTTGTGCCTCCTCCCCCCAGGCTACGAGAAGTACAACACCATGCGAGCTGACCCCGCTCTCTGCTTCCTGGAGAAGGCCGGGCGCCCCGATGACAAGGCCATCGCCGCGGAGCACCGCCTGGATGTGGGAGAGGGGTGAGTGACTGTCTAGGGGTAGGGGTGGGGCCTGGGCATGGGGGTGGGTTGAGTGATGTTTCTCAAACTTCTGTATTGATGACCCCTTTCTCACAGCAAACCTGAGTGCAACCCCCCCCCCCCTTGTAAATTAAAAACACTTTTTTGTATTTAACACTATTATAAATGCTGGAGGCAAAGCGGGGTTTGGGGGTGGAGGCTGACAGCTCGCAACCCCCCATGTAATAACCTTGTGACCCCCGAGGGGTCACAACCCCCAGTTTGAGAACCTCTAGTCTAGGTGACTGACGGGTCTAGTGGGCAGGGCCTGGGCACGGGGGTGGGGGGGGGTGAGTGGTGGCCAACATGGCGGGGCCTGGGTAACCTGTCCGGAGGGGCGTGCCTGTGATGACTTGCCATGCTAATACCGACCCCCCAGCAGCACTTGGCTCTGCCCTGGCGGGGAATGAGTTAAACTTGCTCCTCACGGAGTTCTGAGGCACCAGCCCCCCCAGGGGCTGTGGAGGGGGCCCAGCTGGGGGCAGTTCCTGGGGGTCACTAACCCCTCCTTTCCCATGGGCCTCAGGGCGGAGTTTGACAAAGACTGCGAGGACCCTGAATACAAACCGCTGTCCGGGCCGGCCAAGGAGCAGGACGACGAGGTGAGAGCTACTCCTAGCCACCCCCTCGCCCCGGGGTCCCCCTCTGCCCTCAGGTCGCTCTCCACAGTGCTCCACCTTGTCCCCCTCTACCCTCTCCCCACCGGGTTCCCCATCCCCACAGACCCCCTGCTCCCCCCGCCATAACCCAGCCCCCCATTGGCTCCTGGGGGCATCTGTCCCTGTCTGGGGCAGGCAGCAGGCTGGGTATCAGGCAGGGGGCAGGTGACATGGCTGAGGGGCACAATACTCCCAGTCCTTAATGTGTCTCTCCTTCCCCACCCCCAGGGTGATCCCCTGATGCTGCTGGACGAGGAGATCTCGGTGGTGGATGGGGATGAAGGTAAGGGGGTGGGGAAGAGGGTGGCTGGAGCACAGAAAGGATGAAAGTAGGCACTGTCCCGTAGCGTGTAGGCTGGGGCTGGCTGGGAGGGGTTTGGGGTACAGGGTCTGTGTGCATTTGGGGGGGCTGTGACCCCTGTTGTCTCCCTGCAGGCCAGCTGGGGGGTTGGGGTGCAGGGTCTGTGCACTGGGGGGGGCTCTGACCCCTGTTGTTCCCCTGCAGGCCAGCCGGCCCAGCCCGGGCACCTGTTCTGGCCGCCGGGCTCAGTGCTCACGGCCCGCCTGCGGCGCCTCATCACCGCCTGCCAGCGCAGTTACAAGCAGGAGCAGCTGAAGATGGAAGCCGCAGAGCGGGGAGACCGGCGGCGCCGGCGCTGCGAGGCAGCTTGCAAGCTCAAGGAGATGGTGCGCCGGGAGAAGCAGCAGCGGTGAGGCCAGGGCAACATGCAGCCGGAGGGGGGAGCCCCACCCTGTTCCAGGGGATGCTTTGGACATGGGACACGCACCCTGCAGCCACCACAGGCCTCTAGGATGGGGGGCCCTGGTTCTGGGATCTGGGGCGAGGGTGGGGGGGCTTGGGGCAGAGGTGCATCTTCCCAGGGACTGGCTCAGGTCCACGGGCCCACTGAGGCTCTCCTGTTCCCCTCCCCCAGGTGGACACGTCGGGAGCAGTCGGATTTCTACCGCGTGGTGTCCAGTTTCGGGGTGGAGTACGACCCTGACACGCTGCGCTTCCACTGGGGCCGCTTCCGGGCGCTGGCCCGGCTCGACCGCAAGACAGACGAAAGCCTCACCAAGTATTTCCATGGGTTTGTGGCCATGTGCCGGCAGGTGTGCCGGCTGCCCCCGGCCGCCAGCGACGGTGAGTGTGTCTGTCCGTCTGTGCCGGCTGCCCCCGGCCACCAGCGATGGTGAGTCTGTCTGTCTGTGCCGGCTGCCCCCGGCTGCCAGCGACGGTGAATGTGTCTGTCTGTCTGTCTGTGCCGGCTGCCCCCGGCTGCCAGCGACGGTGAATGTGTGTCTGTCCGTCTGTCTGTGCCGGCTGCCCCCGGCCGCCAGCGACGGTGAGTGTCTGTCTGCCAGCAGCCCTGAGTGAGCATAGGATAGGGTAATGTTGGGGTTCTGGGCTCCCAAAGTCTCTGACCCCTCCCCCCCCATCTCTCCCCGCAGAGTCCCCGGACCCCACGCTGTTCATCGAGCCCATCTCGGAGGAGCGGGCCTCCAGGACGCTGTACCGTGTGGACCTGCTGCGCCGGCTGCGGGAGCAGGTCATGTGCCACCCGCTGCTGCAGGAGCGCCTGGCCCTGTGCCAGCCACCGGGCCCTGAGCTGCCCACCTGGTGGGAGTGCGGGCGGCACGACGGGGAGCTGCTGCAGGGGGCAGCACGCCATGGGCTGAGCCAGACCGACACCACCATCATGCAGGACCCCGACTTCTCCTTTCTGGCCGCCCGCCTCAGCTACTTGCATGGCCGGGCTGGGACGCCTCAACCCCCTGCAGGGGGTGCTGGAGCAGCCACAGCCTCCCCCCTGCCCCCCACGCCCGAGCTGCCGGCCCCGCTGCTGCCTGTGCTTCTCCCCAAGCCTGACTCGGCTGATGACTCTGACTCGGAGCTCGACCTGGGGAAGCTCTCGCCCTCCACATCCGGGTCGTCGTCGTCCTGCTCAGAGGACAGCGACGACGAGAGGGGTGAGTGTGGGACCCCCTGTACCCCTCCCCCTGGGGTTCCACCCCGTCCCCTCTGGGTCACCCATACCCGACCTGAGCCAGGGATCCCCTCTGCCCTCCATGTCCGGGTCATTGTCCTGCTCTGAGGACCGCGTGGAGTGTGGGACCCCCATACCCCTCCTCCCTGTACCCAGACTGAGCTAGGGGTCTCCCTGAGCCAGCTCTGACTGCAAACGAGGGTGAGTGACCTGACCCCACAAGCCAGGTCTCTTCTTCACCCACCCACCCCCGCCTGTTCCAGTGACTGTGATGAGAAGTGGGGGTGCCCTCCTGGACCACCTCCAGAAGCCCTTAAAGGCCAGGAATTCTCCTCCCCCCTATATCAAGGTGTTCCCCTCTGGAGTGCAGGGAAGTCCCCCTGGCCTGAGGGACAAGCCCCTGGGGGGGTGGGGGCAGGTCCATCTGTGGGGGCGGGTCGGTCCGTCTCTGCATCCTCCTCACCCTTGTCTCTCTCTGCAGGCAGGGCAGCCTGCAGGATGGGCGTTGGCCATGGGAAGCAGGAGGCCTCCGTCTCCCTGTGGCAGGAGTGGGGAGCGGGGGTGTCTCTCACCATCCTCTGTCTCACCCCCTATGCACGATGCCCTGTGGCAGGAGTTGCCCATGGGGTGGAGCGTGTCTCTCTCACCATCCTTCTGGCATGGTGCCCTGCGGGGGGAAGCTGTCCATGGGAGGTGGGGTGTCTGTCTCACCACCCCCAGGCACAGTGCCCTGCGGGGGGAAGCTGTCCATGGGGAGTGTGGTGTCTGTCTCTCCCCACACTTGGTGTCCTGCGGGAGGAAGCTGTCCATGGGGGGTGTGGTGTCCGTCTCACCACCCCCCTCTTTCCCCACCCCCAGGCACCATGCAGTGCGGGGGGA